ACCCACACACTCACCCACTGCAAGTGACATCCTCTCACAATTGTGCATGCACACAACACGTGTCGCAGCATCACACCACATCAGTTTGTAAGGAACACGTGTCTCACTGCATTCAGTTGTTCAGTCAACCACTCGTTCCTCATTCGTCTGATGATACATTGGATTTCAGTGAGAACACGTGTTCACATGCAAGTGAGTGGAGATGTTCGTGTTTGTGTTTGTGTTTGTGTTGTGTTGGTGTTGGTGTTGGTGTTCGAGTTCTCGTACACAACACGAGTGTACTGAAATTGTCTCGGCACCATGTGACCAAGTGAATGAGGTCAGTGTTGAGAGGTGATTTGTTGGTATGACACAGACTGGTCAACTCACCATCAACACCTCCACATCTCACTTGATCCACCACTATTCAACCACCGACAAATCCACTTGTACACACAACGCATGTCACCCGACTCATTGCACTGTCTCACTCACTTCACTCAACCAAACTCTACACACAAATTGTCACAAGCTGTCCACTCTCACTCACTCTCTCGCTCAATCCCTCACTCTCAATCTCACTCACACTCACATTCACATTTACACTCACACTCACATTCTCAACATGTATCACCCTGTATCTCACAAATATGCATGTTGGCCACACCGATCACCACACACAATGCATGCACACATGTACACAAATTCTCAACACACCAAATACACAAGTGCAATGAATGATGAGCATTAATTACACAAGTGTGAAATCACAGCACAAATACATCATGGAATGCAACAAATTATCGATTGAACTCACTAGTGACGACTGATGAATCGGTGTGTGGTTCAGTTGGAGTAGATGATGTTGTCGATTCAGGTGGTTGACTGGACACTTCGGACGGAATGTGCGTACTGGTTTGCGAAGTGGATGATGACTCGGTTGTGTGATCCGATGCCATACCTAATGTGTGTATGCAAACAAACAATTCACATTGAACGTGTGGTTAATATTGTGTGAGCAAATGCAACAGGTGCACACATTTCCATCACACTGGTCATCTTAACAACACTGACATTTTGAAAAACACTCGAAATCAATCACACACGCAAACACATACACACAGACATACACACACACACACCCACACACTCACCCACTGCAAGTGACATCCTCTCACAATTGTGCATGCACACAACACGTGTCGCAGCATCACACCACATCAGTTTGTAAGGAACACGTCTCTCACTGCATTCAGTTGTTCAGTCAACCACTCGTTCCTCATTCGTCTGATGATACATTGGATTTCAGTGAGAACACGTGTTCACATGCAAGTGAGTGGAGATGTTCGTGTTTGTGTTTGTGTTTGTGTTTGTGTTTGTGTTGGTGTTGGTGTTGGTGTTGGTGTTCGAGTTCTCGTACACAACACGAGTGTACTGAAATTGTCTCGGCACCATGTGACCAAGTGAATGAGGTCAGTGTTGAGAGGTGATTTGTTGGTATGACACAGACTGGTCAACTCACCATCAACACCTCCACATCTCACTTGATCCACCACTATTCAACCACCGACAAATCCACTTGTACACACAACGCATGTCACCCGACTCATTGCACTGTACAACGCATGTCACCCGACTCATTGCACTGTCTCACTCACTTCACTCAACCAAACTCTACACACAAATTGTCACAAGCTGTCCACTCTCACTCACTCTCTCGCTCAATCTCTCACTCTAACTCTCACTCTCACTCCCACTCCCACTTTATCACTCTCTCTCACACTCACACTCACACACACTCACATTCACACTCACACTCACATTCTCAACATGTATCACCCTGTATCTCACAAATATGCATGTTGGCCACACCGATCACCACACACAATGCATGCACACATGTACACAAATTCTCAACACACCAAATACACAAGTGCAATGAATGATGAGCATTAATTACACAAGTGTGAAATCACAGCACAAATACATCATGGAATGCAACAAATTATCGATTGAACTCACTAGTGACGACTGATGAATCGGTGTGTGGTTCAGTTGGAGTAGATGATGTTGTCGATTCAGGTGGTTGACTGGACACTTCGGACGGAATGTGCGTACTGGTTTGCGAAGTGGATGATGACTCGGTTGTGTCATTCTTTGTGATACCTATTTTTTTTTAAGGAAACCTTTCAGTTTTATTTGTTTTTTAATTTTTTTTTGAATATACGTAAATATTTCTGGTTTTTTTCATATTCAATTTCATACCTATTTCTCCACTTTTGCCTTTATTTAGGTTTTTTTTACTTTTTCCTTCTTGTTTTTCCACTTATTTCACTTCATTCTCCACAGTGTTTTTTTCTTTTCTTGATTTTTTTTAATTTTTTGTGTTTTCCTGTTTCTTTTTTTGTTGTTTTATTATCATGCAGATTGAAAAAATGACGGTTGAATAACAAGGAATATAATTTTCTAAATAGATTGGATCCAATGTTGTGCTCTAATGGTCTCAATGTATATTACGTTATAATTATATCCATGTCTTTAAACTCTTTGAACTTCGGTATGTATATTACTGTTATAATGATTGTGTTAGGATCTTAAATCTTAGGATTATAAGCAGATATGGTTGGTATCTGACAGTAAGAGTTTGTACTTATAAGCGAGATTTACCTACATCCTATATTTGATGTTCACTACGGGACTTGAACTCCATGCCGTTTGCTTTAAACTTTATTGCGTTGTCAGCTGTTGTCTTAAACATCAATAGGAATATTTAAACAATCAATCAATAGAAATGAATTAGGCTTTAGAGTACAAGTGTGTTCAGCTCATGAGTTTGCTTATATGATTAAATAATTCCAATAATCTAATACTGATTGATAGCACTTGACCACCAGTATCATAAAATGTTATCCAAAAACTACTTGTAACATTTAAATTCTCTAAACATAACTTACTGTTAATCTCATATATCGTGATATCTAACATAAAATGATGTTTGTTGATTCAAGTCACTAGTAGATATCGTAAGTAAGTCCTTAGTGATTACTTACTTACTTACTTACGACTGTTACTCCTCGTGAAGGAGCATAGGCCGCTCACCAGCATTCTCCATCCAACCCTGTCCTGGGCAATCCTTTCAAGCTCTTTCCAGTTCTTATTCATCCTTTTCATATCTGCTTCTATTTCCCGACGTAATGTGTTCTTTGGCCTTCCTCTTTTCCGCTTCCCTTCAGGATTCCAAGTTAGCGCTTGTCTCGTAATGCAGTTTGATGATTTCCTCAATGTATGTCCTATCCATTTCCATCGTCTTTTCCTAATTTCCTCTTCAGCTGGAAGCTGGTTGGTTCTCTCCCACAAAAGGCTGTTGCTGATGGTATCCGGCCAATGGATGTTGAGTATCATGCGTAGGCAGCTATTGATAAATACCTGTACCTTCTTGATGGTGGTTGTTGTAGTTCTCCAAGTTTCAGCTCCGTACAGTAGAACTGCCTTGACGTTCGTATTGAAGATTCTGACTTTGATATTGGTTGAAAGTTGTTTTGAGTTCCATATGTTCTTCAGTTGAAGAAATGCCGCTCTAGCTTCGCCAATCCTCGCCTTGACGTCTGTTTCTGAACCTCCTTGTTTATCGACGATGCTTCCCAGGTATGTGAAGGATTCTACATTTTTCAGAGTTTCGCCATCAAGAGTGATTGGATTGCTGTTCTCCGTGTTGTGTTTGAGGACCTTGGTTTTCCCTTTGTGTATGTTGAGGCCTGCTGATGCAGAGACTGCTGCTATGCTGGCTGTCTTTATCTGCATTTGTTCGTGTGTATGTGATAGGAGGGCTAGGTCATCTCCTTAATGATTAGTATTTCTGAATTAATTATTCTATTTATTAACAAATAACTCGTTTCGATAGAATATTTGGTTTAAATATTTTAAGATCCAATTCAGTTTCTCAAGTATATTCACATAGTTATTCAGATCATTTGTGATCATATTAGTCTTTTTTTTTTCAAATAACTATCACGTTTTGATTTCAAATCATTCGTAATGACTTCGTAGCTACTTTCTAGATCCTTATAATTTATTTATACTTCAGAACTGAACAAAGTACAAGCAAAAGATTTATGTCGAGTTTAGTTTTTACACAAAAAAACGAAAGGTATTTATAAGTTTGTTAATTATTCTAGAAACTTTTAGAAGAATTCTCAATTTAAAAATACAATAAGTAATCGTTCACATAGTGAGAACTTTAATCTATCATGTTTCTAGGAGCAATTCATTGGAATCTAATCAAACAAGATGTTTTTCAGAGTATTTCAGCGTTCTGAAGATATTTCCAACGAATTTTTTGGGGCTTACAACTACATTCTATATCCTGTCGACTTAGTCTTCAGATATCCATCGTAGATATTTAACTAGATTAAATAGGTAACAATGAATTAAGAATCAATAACTGGAACTTTATTTAAAGATGGATAGTGGCTAGCAGTGGAATCGACGACGCGCGTTTCGTTCTATTTAGGACTCGTCAGATGGATGTACTGGAATCGAAGAGTTGATGTTCACTCCAGACTCAAACCCAGTACCGTTCGCTTCAAATGCCATCGCGTTATCCATTTAGATAATAAGCCTGATTACTACTTGCTTGTGAAATGGGGTGAAGTTTAATTTCACTTGATGTTGTTTTACCTGTATCTTCCCATTGTTATTTAGGACTGCAGTTGATCAGTCACATATTGACATATGTGCATTCTGTGCGGATTGCCTCGATATAGCCTTAAGTCACAAGATTTTTAAGTAAAGATGGATAAAAGTTGATATTCACTCCGGGACCATCTTTGCTTAAAAAGCTTGTGACTTAAGGCTATATCAAGGCAATCCGCACAGGATGCACATATGTCAACATGTGACTGATCAACTGCAGTCCTAAATAACAATGGGAAGATACAGGTAAAACAACACCAAGGGAACTTTATTCATTACAGAATACATACCAGTTTACATGTATAATAAAAAAAAATAGTTTCACTCACGATATATCTCGATATCCATAACAAATATATTCAATGTTTTGTTCAGTTGATTATAGCCATTGACTAGAATGTTATACAACATGGATTCATTAACCAATGAAGCATTATTAGAAACCAATTCTATATTTACATTGGCTTGAACACCAGTAATGCTTACATTAACAATTCCACTCTGTGTTGTTCCTGATTGTTCATTATTAGTGTCAATTGGAAGAAAAACAATATTGAAGCATCGTGCATCTTTTGAGATTATTGGATCACCAAGATACGAACTTTCAATAGTCTACAAGATAATTAATAACAATTAATTTACTCAACAATAACGAAGTAATTTCTCATTGTATATATAAACGAAAAGTAAATAGATTAGAACAATCACATTGATGTGGAATTGTGTAAACCGGTAAAAAAGAAAGAAGAATGTTTATTATTCTAATTAGTAACTGGCCAATATTGGTGATTTATATAACTACAAGTAATTAAAATTCTGTAAAAGCCAATTATTTGTAATCTACAGTTTATCGAATTTCTAGTTTGTTCATATTATGTTTCATAAGCATAGAGTAGTAATGCTTACATTCACATCTTTCATAAACTAACCTTCAACGGTTAGATTAAAGTAATGATTATGTAACAGATTACACTACTCAGGCTAGTCTGGCTTTCACTTTATGTACATTGGGTTCACTTTCCAGGTTATCACTATTACTCGCATAACTATCAAGATACACCAGCTATCTGAAAATTTCAAGATGAGAACTGTAGACAACGAGATCTAGAAATGATAGAGTTCGTATTAGAATTACGGAAATTTCCTCTCGAAGACAGTCACTACGGAGCATAAGATAACTATCAGTATGAAGTTTCAGAATTCGTTGGATTTCATTGAATTAATAGACTTATATAAGTTGGGCAACTATTAGATCTCTGATCAGTGGTCTATAGGCTAAGCGTTTACGTGAGAGACGGAAGGCCGTTGTCTCGATTTCCGGCTATGGTGTTGTTTCGAAGTGTTGGTTAGAGATCTCGATCTCAGACGTAACGACTGACGTTATCTAACGCATACTAGTTTGTAATTTCAATTAAACTAAACGATCTCCATAACCGCACACTGATAGTGGCATATATATATATATATATATATATATATATATATATATATAATTGGTTGATTTAAGGCACTGAATGTTTCATTCAAACTACAATTTATGAAGTAAACACATGTTTTAATCTCATGTTTAGAATTATAATGAATTAAACTTACGAGATTGCAGACACTGCTAGCTAATGTCATATAATCAGTTGAAAGAACATCCTGTAATTCCGATTTCCATTGATAGTATGTTCTATTAAGGTCGGTATATATGACAGTTTTTATTAGAAATGATGAACCTGCTAGTTCGAGAACATATTAAAAAAATGAAACAGGCAAAAATACATAAACAGTAGTATGACTACTTATAAATTTGAAGGTAGCATAAAATAAAATACAAAATTACTTCGCAGCTCATTGTAGTAGGTTAGAGGTAATTTTATAGACTGGAATATTTGTATACGATATTCTGGATAGATAATGTAAAACATATTGACTTCGAAATTTTATTAACAAGAAATCCAAGATTTCCATCTTATATGATAAGAGAATCAGTTGAATCACTTGAGAACATAACATATATATATTCAATAATTGGATTATGAGACAATTGACGCTAGACCAACATGGCTAACTTGAAAGCACTGGAAGGCTCTCTCATACCAGTATGGAACTCCTCATCAATGCACATCCACAATCGCACCCAATCAGATTCGAAACCAGTACCTGTTGGTCTCACGCAGCGACCAACGATGTAAATGTCTAACTTCAATCAATCCACGAAATCGCGCCACCGTCCGTCATTGACTTCAGTGAGTTATTATCTCACGACAGAGACGGATGAAATCTACTGGTCAAGGCTTCTCAATGGAACTCCAGTAAATACCTATTGGGGACAGTCACTAGTGAGAATATTATGATTATAATCACAGAGAGAGATTTTCCGAAGAATTTAGTAAATTAATAGTAAAATTCATGTGTCAATTGAAGATAGACCATCACAGAAGCAAACTGATCTCCAAAATAATTGCTTTGGAGAATGACAACTAATAAGCTGTAACTCTGCTGATGTGAATTTTCACATGTCGTTTCATTCGGAATGTACTTGCCATGAGTTCTTTCTTAACCAAACTCCTAATCCCAGCAAGTTGATACTCACATTTTTATACTTCTATTTGTGAACGTTATTTACCAGCAAGTGAATAATAATGCCGATGACATCCTTGGGTTTAAATATGGTCAAGTTTCGTAGCAACCAATAGTATTTTTGAGTATATGAAAACAAACTAACTTGATTCTTGTTCTGAAGAATACATTTAGTAATTATAATATCAAATTTTGACTCAAGGTACTAAATACATTCTATTCATTAGTGGAAACTACGCATCTGACTGACTCAAGTTAACGATTGGCGATGACAAGTTAAACTACATTTCTATTGGTCTGCTAAACATAGGATTTCTTCTTCCCATTCTCAATCGAACAAGAGAATACAGTAAAAGACAAGCTCCAATCATTATATTCTACCGAACCATTAACTTATATATATATATATATATATATATATATATATATATATATTACTAGATGGCATCACACTTTATACAAAAGCAAGTTAAAAGTGGTAAGAAATGGATCAAGTAGAGGATGAAAAACAAGAATTGGAAAAACGTACAGTAATAGTTATTGTGTCCAACACAAGCTTACAACAAGGAGAATATGGAAGTAAAACAGTTTATCAGTTTAATAATTTTATCATCAATATATAAACTAGCTAAGTGGATAACGCAATGGCGTTTGAAGCGGACGGTACTGGGTTCGAGTCCCAGAGTGAACATCAACTCTGAGATGCAGTTACATCCAGCTGACGAGTCCCAAGTAGGACGAAACGCGCGTCAAACTGGATTCCACTGCTAGCCACTATCCATCTTTGCTTATAATGCTTGTAAATTAAGGTAATATCGAGGCAATACGCACAGTATGCACACATGCCAATAAGAGACTGATCAATTGTAGTCCTAAACATCAATGGGAAGATTCAAGTAAAACAATATCAAGTGAATCATTTTTAAGATAATTTTAAAAGTTACAACTATCACAATATCCGTGCAATAAAAACAATTGACAGTGTTAATAAACAACTTGTAAAGTTGTTAAAACTTTATATTTACAGTTCAAATCATGATCTGATCTAGGCTAAACAACTATTGAGAAACATAAAGTACTGGACAATCGTTTCATCTTCAAGAGCGAGATCATGGATAAAGAACTTGAAATTTAAACCTTCAATTTCGTCAACAAACCTTTAATCTCTTGACCATTAAACCAACATCTAACGGTAACAATATTTCACTGTAATTAATTTGTGATAGTGTGTAATCTTTCTTACATTACCTATAGTGGATAGCTTTCTTGTATTTGATACAGATTTAACTCTAATTATTATGATTTCATACCAAAACTTCAAAAGTTACATCATGGAACTGGTTTTTGTATACAACCTATGGAATCATTTCTATGAAAGTATCTTATTAACTAAATTAAATATATCAAGTGATTATCATAATTTATCTCATTCCTTAATTTATTATATAAGAAATAGGAGATTACCTGTTATTGTTGTGTTATCGGATTTTACATGATACATGAAAAATTGAAAATGGATTGTATAAATTAAAATAATTTTAATCCAATTAAATTGATTCCAAATCATCATTATTCTTATTGATTTATGTGTTCAGAATGATTCTATAGTAATAAAGTAATGAAAATATGCATATCAATAGATTATTAACAAGATTATAATGTTCAACAAATAACATTATTAAATTATTATTATTATTATTATTATTATTATTATTATTATTATTATTATTATTATTATTAATGTATAAAACACTATGGATAAATGTGGAATAATCAATTGAATGGAATTCATCACTCTATATCAACTTCATTGACTACGAAATTGCATTTGATAGCGTGGACAGAACAACCCTATGGAAGCTTCTTCGACACTACGGCGTGCCAGAGAAGATAGTCAATATCATACGGAATTCCTACGAAGGATTAAACTGCGAAATCATGCATGGAGGATAGCTCACAGACTCGTTCGAAGCAAACACCGGTGTCAGGCAAGGTTGCTTACTCTCACCCTTTCTCTTTCTCCTGGTGATCGACTGGATTATGAAGACGTCAACATCTGAAGGGAAACACGGGATACAGTGGACAGCTAGGATGCAGTTGGACAATCTAGACTTCGCAGATGATCTGGCTCTTCTATCGCATACACAACAACAAATGCAGAAGAAGACAACCAGTGTAGCTGCAGCCTCAGCAGCAGTAATAGGTCTCAACATACACAAAGGGAAAAGCAAGGTTCTCCGGTACGACACAGAATGCAACAATCGAATCACACTTGACAGAGAAGATTTGGAAGATGTAAAAACCTTTACATAATTGGACAGTATCATTGATGTGCACGGTGGATCTGATGCAGATATCAATGCGTGGATCAACAAAGAAAGAGTAGCATACCTACAAGTGAAAAACGTTTAGAACTCATAACAATTACCAATCAACAACAAAGTCACAATTTTCAAATAAATGTCAAGACAGTTCTACTGTATGAGTCGGAAACTTGGAAAACTACGAAAGTCATCATCCAGAACAAACAAGTGTTTATTAACAGTTGTCTACACAAAATAATTTGGATCCGTTGATCAGACGTTATCAGCAACAACCTACTATGGGAGATAACAAATCAGATTTCAGAGGAGGAAGAAATCAGGAAGAGGCGTTGGGAGGGGATGGGATACACATTGAGAAAAGCGCCCATCTGCGTCACAAGGCACTCACTTGCAATCCTCAAAACCGAAATAAAAGAGGAAGACCAAATAACACATTACACCGAGAAATGGAGACAGACATGAGGAGAATGAACAGCAGTTGGATAGACCTAGGAAAGAAGGCTCAGGATAGAATGGGGTAGGAGAATGCTGGTTGACGGCCTCTGCTCTACTAGGAGTAACAGGCGTAAGTAAGTAAGTATCAATGTATGAATTTCCCGTGGATGATCAAATTTTGACGGACACATATCAAGAAATGATCTTTGTTAAACAATCATTAAAAACTAGGAAACACTGGGATATATATCATATTCTAGGATAGTTTTTCCCGTCGGTACATACCTACGAAATTGTCAAGTATCGGATTCAGGATTTTTAGTTAACTTCTGAAACGCTTAACCTTGAAACTATTGAGTTAACACTCAATGGTTTACATTTTTAACTTCAATTTGTCGTTGAAAATAATAACTGTCTAGTGCTTACTAGTTTCCAATGGTTTCATAACTAGGGCTGATTCTCGGTATAAGCCATAAAATTCAAAGGATTTTTAATTGTTTCCAAAAGGTATGACTGTTGACTTATTTAACGTATATGATAATTATCGTTATGGGGTTGCGAAAATTATTACGTTTTTGATTGAGATCATGTGCTCAATAGTGACTAGCTTCATGAAGGAATTCTCGGAGTTCTGGTGAGAAGCCATGACCAAAGAAGCTAATCCATGTCAGGTAGATTCAATTATCTACCTCAGTACAATGAAAGATGGTCGCGCAATTTTGTGAATTGGTTGATATTAGAAACTAACACCGTTGGATATCAGCTTAATGGTCTAGAGATTGAGTGTTTGCGTGAGAGACCGAAAACCCTGGGTCCGAATCCCATGGGCGGGGTCATAAATGCCCACTGCCGACAATAGGACAAAACGGCCGTCCAGTGTTTTTAGGTATTCAATAGTGGTCTACTATCAATTGGTTCATGATCTCAATCAAAAAAATATAATGATAATGATTGTTAACTATAAAAGCTTACACATTGTTAATAATATTGACTATGAACTGTCTTATTATGTAAAAGTGATTTTGTTTTTAAAACGTTTTCTTTTGTTTGTTTTTTTTTTTTTACTTTACAAACCATCATTGATTTAAATAGTCGTAATTTCATTGTTCTTTTACTCCCATAAAGTTGGTGTAAGTTATGTCTACAACTAACCAATCAAATAGTTGCTTAAACGTCTACCACGACAATCTAGTCTGATATGTCTGTAGACTATCCATATTGTATGTAATCTCCCAATCGAAGGATATTATTATTATTATCCTATTATATAACTATGACTCATATAAAACATACAAT